AAGCGCGATAACGCATAAGGGAAAGGGCTTAACTCCAAAAACCCTATTTTGTCACGCAGAAAAGGTCTTTGATGTTTCTTGGTTTTTACATTTTGACCCCAACATTTTAATTTGGATCAAAATTGAACACAATTACTTCTCGAGATGAAATTTGCCGAAACGTTTGTGATTTTATATACTTGCATGGTTACACATTGTTCTAGATATTTCATAATCATGGATAGTTTCATAAAATTGTAACACAGAAATAAAAAATGGTTTCATTTCAAATTTCGGTTTTAAGATAAGAAACCAAATGTAGCCTAAGTGTAGAAATATCTCAAATTTCGGTTTTAGGCTTGTACTGTTGTACATGTGTGAACAAGTTGACATGGTGGTGGTGATCACTATATTTGATTTCTTGTTACATTACTCACAAAATGTAAAATATAAAAAATGTTATATGTTTTTCTGATTCTGTATGCATGTGTTTGAACTTTGAACAACTTGACATGATCGATAGGCTTTTTTTTAGACAGTAATCAATATCCATGTGATCCATCACATGGTTTTAAATCTTCTTTTGTATATATTTCAATCTTTTATTTCTAATATGGTCCTACGGTTCGTGCTTTGCCGTGCCGTACCCCGACCCTACAAATTTCTTATATTACCACCCTTGTAATAAATTTTGTGTCACACATAAATTAAGATAAAGGAAACAATATCTAAATTTGTCTTCCATGCAATATACATTTGTAAGCTGTCTAATGCCTAGCATTGTTTAACAATTCTAAACCAAAACGATACTGATTAACAATAACAAAACCCAAAACTAAATCAAGCACTCTTATGTATTATTAAAGATAAGCTAATATGCATTGCCATTATCTTTTTATACATTTGCGTATATCCTTCATCATATAACAACGAAGATAGTTCTTTGTTTATTCGTCAGTTGATATGACCCCATTAATATTTGTCTTTATTTTCGGTAAAAAATTGACTATGTTCGTTATTAGAAAAGATAATATTTCTTAAAACCAAAAATATCCCAATGTTTTTATT